TATCCCTAGTCCCACGAAATTTTCGAAATTTAGCAATCACACATAATCCAAATTTTCGACTCAATACATCGCAAAGTCCCGTCCAACATATAATGACACATCAATCACAAGATGATAATACTTATGAACAAATTATTGAACAGCCCCATACCACCGCTTTTCAATCTCAAAATAATAATTTTTTTAGCCCACGATGAGCCGCCAACTTGGATCACTACACCGATCAAATTCCCATCCAACCAATCTTTCCTCTCCAATCCCAATCATACCACTTTTTGCTTTTCCGCCACCCGATTTTCCATCTAGCAATGTAACATCAGGCATGAATTCCGACACTAACTCACATATTTCAGTTTTATACTCCATCTCACAGCTAAATAACCCGAATATTGAAACCCCCGATGAATTTGCCGACTCAGAACCATCCCCATCCAATAATTTTCATAACCCTTCTAATTTTTCTCAACCTCCTTTTCAACCCATATTGTCCAATAACCCTGACCCAATCACTCCGACACCCTCTTATGCTTCCCAAGTTACCCCAACCTACTCCTCATACCATTCTGACCAATCATCTCATTCTCCAGACACCCCCCGAATCTCCCCAGAGCTAGAAAATTTTATTACACTCCAACAGCAACCCTACCACCTTAACACCCCGACCATAAACCAAATCTCCTCCACTACAAATTCATCCAATCCCCCTACACCCTCTTCAAATTATACTGAATCATTAACACCATCATCCACATCCACTATATCTTCACTAAACACTAATAGAGCTTACCGCACTTTTAAAAGAAAATTCCCCAACCATCCTTTCCCAGCAAAACCAGGAACAGCCCGTGAATACATCAACCACCCCCAGCATACTAACACTAAAGAATTTTTAGCTATCACTTTACCCTCATTTCCACAATACACCTTAAACACCCCTCACGACGCTAACGAAACACGCAACTTTGTAGATGAATACGTTTTAATGCCCACTCTCTCTTGGACCTCATACTATCATTTCACTAACCCTCTTTGCTTACCTTTATCCAGCACTTCCATCGATATAGAACGAAACAAGGACATGCTATATCAACTCACTACACCACTAACCGCTAGACAATTTACTTACGTTGGATATAAAAAATCACTAAAAATACACACTGCACCTAGAGCTAATGAATATACACTAGAATATTACGATCACAACATCATTAGAGCTAACCAAGATCAATTCTTAGACGACGATCGCTTCGCTAATCCACAAATCACCGAGAAATTTTTCATCAAGACACCATATGTATTTACACTAAATATCTTCGACCGAAAGTTTGATCACATTATTTCAGAAGCACTAACAAACACACAAGCATACGAAAGTTTTAAAGAACGCTTCCAAATCTTTTCACTAACCTTTCATTTCCTTGCACCACACGAAAGAGATTTACACTGCTCACACGATATTATGTTGCGCACTAAACAAACACATACATACAGTTACTATCGTTTCATCCAAAATCACTTTGACCTCCACACACCCTCTAGACAATCACACCATCGTTTCCAATTCATCAATTCAAAATACACTTCACCGTATTTCCTAAATTTCACATATTGTATTAAAGACACTAACCTCCATGGTATTCTTCGTAATTATGACCCCATAACCCAAATGTACATTTTCTGCCCAATCACCAAAACCTTCAACGCCGAAGAATCCCGACCCTTCCTTATCCCGCACGAGTTCCTGCAACCTATAGAAATCCCAATTTTAGAATTCATCCACAACACTAAATTTAACCACAAATTATATAACTTAATCCAAAACACACCTTATGAGTTTGCAGTAGGCACTGAAGAACTAACCACTATTAAGGCACTTCAATTGCTTTGGCCACTGCTTCAAACTAAAAATATCATCCGCATCTTAGCTAAACTACTAACAACTTCAGAACTAATTCACGACATCTTTTCCCACGGTTTTTTCCCCGACGACTAACAGGTAAGTATGAATTAAATGAATATTACTAACTAATTAAAATATTAAAAAACTCACCATACTTTATTCATGTTTTCTTTAGATTTTTAGCCTTCATCCGACGATCACCTACAAAAACCACAAAAGACAAATAAAAATCGCAAATTTCATCAAACAGATTTCAAAAATTCTATTAATCTCTTACACTTATAAATTTATAAATTTAATACCAATGCAGTAAATTCATTTCTAAAATTTTCCCCCACAAGCAGTAAATCTAATTATGATGAAAATTTGTATCTTAATATTCCCCCATGACTAGCAGTAAATTTCTAAATTCTATGTAGTAAATTAATAAAATGCAATTGCAGTACTAACCTTTAGATATTTTCATTCATTCGCACAGAAATTCTATCCACACTCGCACAGCTCGCCCACGAAGAATTGTTTAAAATAATGAATTTCAGTTTCAAGTTTTCACACTCAACAACTCTAACATACAATAACATGTTTCAAACTTTCCTTTAACCCGGTTGGAAAGGAATCATATACTAAACAAAACTAACCAACGCAGCTTACTAAATACCACAAATCATAGAATAACAGCATGACTAAGAAAAGGAAACCAACGGTGCCCAAACCGGATTAACCCAGTTTAAAACTGGATAATTTATTCTTTTGAAGACTATTACAAAGTCTTAGAAAGAAATAATAAAACACAAAAAAGTCGAAAGACAAACCCATACCACAAACAATTTGCTTTTTGGAAAAAGTACATAACCAACAAGACATAAGTAAAACCACAACAAACCCAACATAAAACGTTGTCACATAACAGGACCCCTCACAAACACCGCATGAAATCATACTCCCACTCCTGGCCTAACCCACCAGGAAAGGACGTCCTGAGCATGCTCTATAGCCGGCCTAACCCACCGCGCTACATCCACGCTTTGTGACCACACCTTTATTTTTAATAAGAGCTACTCAAGGGTGAGTAACTCTTCAAAATAACCGAACTAAAACAAAAAGCTTTTGTGAAAACAACTAACTAAAATCATTATTAAAAAATATTAAACTAATAAAAGTTTTATAAAATGTAAAATCACATGATGCAATATATAGATCAGAATACAACACCAAGGACGAACATCAAAAGACAAGACGACCTCACTACACTCGAGAGAGAATGACCAACTACAATCGATATGCCGCTCACAATCACAACTCAAAGGATTTAGAGTACGACTTGACTTCGCAGAAAAGGACTTCATTGAACTAGACCAATGACCACCTCGATGTTCAAGTATACGTACAGATCCGAGTAACCAGGCATCCCCTCCACGCACAATCTCCACGCCATTCCCAAACTAGATCATACACAAAAGAAGTTCTCCACGCAGAACAGAAAAACCTGACATAGCCAACCATTCTGGAATCAGAATTGACTTTGTTGCAGAGACTCAGTCGTTGTCACAAGAAGAAGCGAAAGAAAATTATGATGTTCGCCAAATACCAACGTCCATCATCCACCCTTGAATTACAGAAGAACTGTTCTAAAAAACTCTGTAAAACCCGGATGGGTGGAACCTGATCTAAACTATATTTTATGATTGGATAAATTAAATGTTTTACCAATGTAAAGTATTTAATATTAACCAATCATGATCCATCTAACTAACAACCCACTTATTTGTAAGTGCTGAAGTTACTTGTAATTTCAGCACCAGAGAGATTTGAATTTAACTTAGAAATTAGTTGGACTCTCCCGAGCACTTCAGCAGCCGCAATAAACCAGTATACCCTAGATCTATTGAGCCTAGCAGAGACTAGTTAAACAACCTGAGACTAGATAGTATAAGAGTAAGATTAGGATCGGTATTAGACTAAGAAGTTGCACGAATCTATCCGGCCGAAAATAAGATAGCGTGACGAGCAGACGGTGTACCCTATCCGAAATTACTCTATGAGTTACACTTCGGTTCTAACTCATTTGATTTATTTTTTTTTGCGGTTTGACTTTTCATTTCTTTTTAATAGTGCTAGGTATTTTAGCAGACCGGTTTTATGCAGACCGATATTTTAGTAGGCTCAGAACAGATGTTTTTTGTTGATCTGCTAAAAGACTCATTTTTCACTCTGTAAGCTTAAAGATTGGTCGGCTAAAAGATCGTAACCCTTTTTTTAAGTTCAATTTAAATTCAATTGCTAAAATACCAGCAAATTGTGCTCTACAAATATTAAAACGGAAATGGCGCGAACAAACATTAATGACTTTTTAAAATGAGTTCTATTTCTAATTTTTACAGCGGAATGATAAATATATATTGAAAAAAAAAACATTTTAATTATTCTTGTTTTAAGAGAGCTTCAACTTGATATATTTTTTATTCAGTTTTCGAACTTTCCAAAAAATCCTCTGTTCATTGACACTTTTCCAACTGTTTGTTGGCTATGTTTTTAAGAGTAATGTTGGCTGTAGAGAAGACTCCTATATAGGTCTTGCTGATTTTTTTTCTTTTTTTTTTCAGGAAAAAGTCTTGAAATGCTCTAATAACTACAGATGTGCATTCATACACATTGATGCATTTATGAATGCACTTAGGTCTATATGCATTTTTTGAGTTCAATTGAAAATTTATCAGTTGAGCGTGACATAGATAGCACTCTCCAAATACGAACGTGCAAATTTGTAGTTTTCTACGATTTCTAGTTTCGAAAGTGGAATTTAATTTGATTTCCAGCGGAATAAAAACTTTACCTGTTCATCCAGTTTTCTCAAGTTGGGTTAATGTTATCAAAAAAGCGCCAATCATAAATAGTTCTAGAAATATAAAGGGCTTAAAGGGCATCTCTTTGATTTAATTATGTCTGTGATCAACGTATCACTTTTGGCGTAATTTTTGAACTAAGAAAAGCCAAAATCTCAACTCAATTTGAGAAAAACGCGTTTTAAATTTCAAGTTTAGATCGTTTTGTCCGGTTAATTTAAATCAGCACTATATAGTCAAATTAGTTTATGTTTCAGTCTTCTGGTCATCGCAAACAGAAGGGACGACCTATTCCAGTGAAGGCAACGGCACTTGTTATGGACAGTTCCAATGTAATAATCAATTTTTAAAATTAATTCTCGAAATGGAATCAAGTGTTTAGGGTTATAATTTGTTGACAGGCTGCAGTATGTCGATATGAAAGAGAAAGAGAAGAGTTCTACGCTGTGGAGAAGTTCAGATTGTCTGATATCTGGCGAGTCATCACAGCCGACTCTAGTGTATTTGCTGGAAACAATTCAGATGCGTCCAGGGACTTTGTAGTTCTGGTAAGTTTATTAGGTAATCACAAAACGAGCTTCTCTTGCGTTGGTGTACGTTGTGCACAGGAATCAAATTTTACTCTACAATACCCAACTATGTGATGCATTGGATGCGATGTTACTGCACGTGTTGTGCAAACATGCTGTTGGTTATGCTTAGGATTTCCGTCGCAGCTGTAACTCTGCTGAGTCGTCCTTGCAGGGAGATGTGGCAGACGAGTTTGAGATAGTTGACAACACTAACCTAGTGGACAATCAACTGCCCATGCTGCTCTTCTTCTGCTCAGAGGACCAGTGCACCCACTTCCTCTCACTCCTCCAATCTCTCTCTTCCGCCACCCCTCTTCTACAGACATGCTCCGAAGCTAATCTCACCCCCTATGTGATACAGTGTCTCGTCCGTACTCAGACCGAAATCAGACGCACTCGCATGCTACACAAAGTCTAGCCTCAGGAAAGAAAAGAATCGAAAAGCTCTCCATAGTTCAATCTCTTTGCTTCTGCAGCATCGCGATCATCATTCTATCTCTCTCTCTCTCTATCATCGAAAAAATCAATTTATTGTAAATACGCATTCAGCGCTTCTAAATCTTATTGACGAAGATATGAGCAAAAAAACAATGCAAGAGTAAACTTAACTCAAAATTTTTAGCTGTCGATCACTCAATGGCCATTTATTTTTTAGAATTGCAAGTTAAATTATATGTTTTTACTTATTCTCTTTAAAGTTTCATTTTGAACGTTTCCTCGTGATTTCTCTAGCAGCAATCTTCACCCCCTATTTTTTTATTCACGAATTTAAGCCGTAAAAAATAGATGTATAAATGCCAAGCGGTAGCGGGGATCTGAACTCTGCATTGCTGGCTACACCACTCAGCTGCATACCTTAAGAATACTTGGCTTCACATCTACTTGAATATCTGTGACCAGACAGTAATGAATGAGTTTTTAATAAGTGTCAATGAAAAAAGTGTGGTTTTTAAGAGTAATGATTGTAGTCAAGACTCGTATATAGATCTTGGTGATTTTTTAAATTTTTTTTTTCAGGATAAAGTCTTGAAATGCTCTAATAACTACAGATGTGCATTCATACATATTGATGCATTTATGAATGCATTTAGGTATATATTCACTTTTTGAGTTCAATTGAAGTTCATCAGCTGAAAGTGACGTAAATAGCACTCTCTGAACACAAACGTGGAAATGGCGCGAAAGAACTTGAACGATTTCTAGTTTCGAAAGTGGGATTTAATTTTTAGATTTCTAGCGGAATAAACTTTACTGTTGATCCAGTTTTCTCAAGTTGGGTTAATGTTATCAAAAAAGCGCAAATCAAAAATCGTTCAAGAAATTCAAATAGCTTAAAGGGCATCTATTTTGTCTTTGAAATTCGAAAGTGGGATTTTTTCAATAAAGTCAGTATTTCTTTTTCTGTTTACCTGCGTTCATCACTCTTTTCCAATCTTTGATTGGCTATGTTTTTTTTCAGGGAAAAGTAATAATTGTTCATGCTCAAACTATTTTTTTCGCGTGTTGACTGTTGATTTTTTTAAGCTCAATACCATGTCTTTTGCTGAAAAGAGGTTGAATTACGCTACCCGTAAGTGGAATTTAATTTTTCGAAAGTGTAATTTAATCTTTAGATTGCTAGCAGAATAAACTTTACTGTTGATCCAGTTCTCTCAAGTTGGGTTAATGTTATCAAAAAAAATCGCAAATCAAAAATCGTTCAAGAAATTCAAAGAGCTTAAAAGGCATCTATTTGTTTTCCGAAAGGTGAGATTTTTTCAACAAAGTCAGTGTTTTTTTTTCTGCGTTCAACAAAGTCAGTGTTTACCTGCGTTCATCACTCTTTTCCAATCTTTGATTGGCTATGTTTTTTTAGGGAAAGTAATAGTTGTTCATGCTCAAACTAAGCAAATTTTTGACAATGGGCTTTTTTGGTAGTTCTTACTGAGCTTCACGGCTGAATTGCTGCAGTTTGCTATATTACTCAAGAACTCATGAAACCCGACCATCTGTCACGATTCTTGCTCTCTGCTCTTTTCAAAGTCGATTGCAAAGGAGTACTGTCTTAAGGTTATTATTACCCTTGCGAAGGAGTACTGTTCTGAGGTTATTATTACAACAAGGAGTACAGTTGTTTTTTTTTTTCCGTAAACAACTTTGTCCACAGGACTCATTGGACTCAACGAGCTGGCGGTACGTTGGTTCATAATGAATTCAAATTTTGTAGTGTCTCTTGCACACTTAGCGTTGTGGTAACAAATACGCCTGGGACGGCAAAGTTGCTGGGTCCTAATCTGATCAGGAGCAGTTTTTTTCAAACGGTAATTGTTCCAGTTCAAAAAAACTCGGCCTAATATTTGTCTGCTTATGTTTTGTCGGCTGGGTTATCACATCAAAGAATCGTTTATTATAACTGCAATTGATTTAAGGTGCAGTCGTTTTTAAAATTGAGAAAAAAATCCGGCCGACTCGAAATTAGCTTCTCACATGGGTTAACTTTTACCAGCTCGACTTACTTTCTCAATTTTTATTGTATTTTTTATTGGGCGAATAAATTTCGGCCTTGTTAATATAGACTTAGTGGCCTCTTTTTGAGGAGTTACGCCGGAAAACAGTTTTTGAGCGCGTATGTGAGCTCTGAGGAGAAAACTTAGCCGAATTTTTTTTCGGCATGAAGGGTTTCTGCTCAAGTATTTTTTACTCTGTTACCGCTTGGCAATTATAAAATCAACCATGGGGTACATCTGGCGTAGAGGTTAGACAACAGCTTGAGAAAGCAAAGATTTGCGGAACGAATCCGGCAGGGCCTTTTTTGCAAACTAGAAGTTTTGTGCTTTTTCGTATTATCGTACGTATGTTTATTTTTGTCGGCTGAGCTCCGTAGCTTGTTAGTTCAGCTTTAATTCTAGATGCTGTAACGAAAAAGCCCGGTGGTTTGATTTCAGTTGAGACTTGTTTTTATTGCAAATATAAATATTAGATTGTCTCCCTGCTTATTCTTGTCTGCTTAAATCCACAGAAAGGGATTTTTTGTAAACTTGGTTTCTGTTAGCTTTCCCAAAGCTTTTTTGTAGAGTTTCCGATAGTGCAGGCAATTTTGTTCCGGATATTTTGAGCTTTTGTCGCATTTTTTTAAAACAAATATAAATTATTGATTTGCTTTTGTCGCATTTCTTTAAAACAAAAATAAATTATTGATTTTCTCCGTTTGATTTTCATATTCATTCATATTAATATTGCAATTAGTGCGAAGCTCAGCTTTGCCACTGTGTATGATTTTTATTTCAGTAGTTACTGGTTTCCACAGGAAAAGGTTTGAAAGTGCTAGCTTGACCTAAACGAGAATCAAATAAATAACGAAGTAAGCAATCAGTGGCGAAAATAAAATTGTCCACAATATTTGATAACCGACCATGACTTTAAATTTACTGCTTATTACATAAGCTGAGCGTTGTGTGATAGTTTGATACTTCTTTTTCCCCAGCCTAAGTGGCAAATAAAAGTGCAATTTAAACTGGAAATTCTGCCAAATTAAGAAAGCTATTTGGACCTTTTTAAAACAATAGCAATATAATGCCATGTGATTTGATTGGATTAGTAATCAGAAAAATTAGTTGATACTTTCTTGATTTCTCTTTTGAAGCGAAAAAAGTTTGTTTCATACAACAGTAATAGTTGAAATTTGATTTAACAGAAAAATAGTTCAGAAATTTTCCAACGCAATGTTTTTTGCGAGATTTTTGGTATTTAAAATTTAAACACAAATTGGCTTCATACTTTCCTTTTTATTAAATGAACGTTTAGTGTAATTGCATTTAGTTTATTCCATTAAAAACTATTACATGCAAAAAATTGTTTTTTTTTTGTGAAATTTCAAGCTCTCTATTGCCATTTTTGTGTTTTCCTTAGCGTCATTGGCACAATTGTCTTGGGCAGCCAACTGAAAATCATGAATGTCCGACGACTGAGGAACTATAATTCCCGTAGAAGTAATTCGTTTTTCAAAACTTGCTAGTTATTTTCCTTTTTGACCTTTTTAAAGCTACCTCTTGGTGTTCGTTTGCTTGTCTTTGCAAAGCGCAGCTTTGCCTGTGTAAGAAGTAAAATTAAAATTTGCTTCAGTCTCTTTTTTATTCATATTGTTGACCGAAATTTGAATGCTTGTTGCTTCAGGGTCTTAACTATTTTGATCGAAAGCACTTATTCCAGTGTAATGGTTTTCTAGATCAAACTTCTCTGGTTTTGATCAAAATACTTTTTTCTGTACTTATTGAGGCGCGTTTTCCTATACCTCAGCACTTCAGATTATCGGCCTATGAAAATCTTTAATAGGAAATCAAAATGCACACCTGATTACGCCCACAAAACATGCTATGCTATATCAAATTGATAGCTAAATACTTAACGGCGACCTTTCAAATTTCTCATTAAAAAGGCTACCAGAAGGTTGTATCGGACTTAATTTTCCGAGTGATTTAAATTACCAAAAAGTACAATTTGGCGAGAATTTTCTTAGATTGAGTCTGACGTATTCTGTTACGTGTTTTTTGGTACTTAAAAAGTTAGCAAGCATTTGTAAACTATGCAAGTATTACACAGAACTTAAGTGCAGATTTTCATCACTTGAGAAACCACGAAACCATAGTATTTCAAACAACCAAATGGAAAGTGAGACGGAAATAACTATGCCTAAAAAATTTGAAAATTTATAATTTTCAAATAATGCCACTCTAGGCATAAAACTCATTCTAGTTTATTCTGAATGTTAAATTAGCAACGGAACAAAACTTTGACTCAAAAAATAATCTTTTAAGTATTGACTACCTTTTTGAAACTACAATGAACAACACGCAACTACAATGAAAGTTACTGACAGCTCCAGAGAGCTCCGTGATGTGGCAACTAGGACGACAGTTTTTGAGGTGGCACCAGTTCGTCCGAAAAAAAATTAATAATAAAAGTTCGAAAAAAATTTAAGTCTCATCTGAATCTACAGTGAACAACACAAATTTGCAACAACAAGGAGTTGTTTACAGCACAAGCAAATTTCATCGATGTAGGCAACTAAACTGAAAACATTTGATCAGAAAATAAAAGTTCAAAAATTCAGTTTTCACCGGAGAAAAATTTTCATTTGCCATACTTGAAAAAAAAAGGCCCGATCGCGAATCAAACCATGGACTTTAATGTGAGGCGACGTCGTTTTCTCTAAGTTGAGTGTGACGAGACCTACAAATTATCAAATTCAATAATGAAGCTGGTTGATACTAAATACAAATTGTAGTTTACGGGAAAAAGCGTCTTTTTCCCAATTGAAAAATACTTGCACCGCAAGTGTAAACAAGCTGTTAGTGTTTTGTTGAGCACTCACCAAGCCGGCGGCATGAGGTTAGACGCCCATTGAGTCGGAAACAACAAATACAGATAAAAATTTTCAAACATTTTTGAGCAATCAAATAGTTAGTTTTTTTTTTACTTTTATATTACAACGAACCTGAATTATTTAAAAGTATAATAATAAGGTTTGCCTTTATACCGATGCAAAATAATGTAAATAAACCGACAACACACAAGCTGATTTTATTTAGGTCGATTAAAACTTTTTAGTGAGAATGTAAGCAAAATGGAAAAATTTACCAATCAATGTTAGTAAATTAAATAACTGTAGGAGTTATTCAA